CTAATTCTGAACTATCTAGTTGCCAAATGTCTAATGACATCCCTTGCAGGATTGGAGCTTGTTGGCAGAGAACAGGTACTGTTCTTCCCAAACCAGTTGTAAAAGGATTCTCATGAACTTTTAAATTTCACAAAGATAACTGCTGAATCTTGTTTTCTACTTATTGTTGCCTGACAAGATAAAACTTTGCTTTGTCTTGTTACTTTGCAGCTCCCACAATGTAGTAGAGGCAGGCAAAACTTTGACAGTAGTCTTGCTTCTGTCAACCCTTCAACAAAAGTAGACTTTCAAAAGCTGCATACGCTTAATCATTCTGACTTCAGTGCTGTCTTTTTTTCTTCTTGCTGCATTGGTGAACCAGTGGGACATGGACTAATTATACTTTTCAGGGACAGTGGACAATGATTATGGGTTGTTGGATATATTCCACTGTTTCTAGGGGCTTCCACATAACTTGAATGTTTACTCTTGGCTTCAGCTTGCCAGGCTCTTCTCCTCTAAGCAGGGCATTTTGTTTAATAGAGCTTTGGTTATCAAAAGAAGGAGTATAGCAAGGCTTTTGGGGAATGAACTGAGCTTTTGAGCAGAGGCCTATTTGTGCTGCTGTTGCAAAAAGAATAATATTAATATTAAATGGCTGAGCCAGAGTATCCCCAAGAAGATTCTGACATGTAGAAGGATTTCAGAAAGCCTTAGAATTTTTAGGCCCAGTACCTTAATGGTGATGTTGTGTCACTTTGCGGTGAGTTGGGATGCTGCTTCATGTATTATCTGAAAAAGCAAAGGAATGAGTAATTCTGTTAAAATGGAGCTGAAGATGTATCATTAAACTTGGGCAATAACATTTTCTGAATCAGCTCTGCAAGTCTGATTTATGTATGGAATAGTTAGAGATGCGTTTTGAAATACGTGCTCTTTGGGATATCAAATTCAAATTACTCAAAGCATATATTCTGAATTTTTGCTTCTTTTGACAATTACTTCCATGGGTTTTTTTTTTTCTCAAATAGTAAGTTTGTATTAGAAAACTAAGGAGAAAACTTCATGTTTAGTAGAGTGACTGGTCACTTAAAGCTTGGTTTTGTGCAGATTTATATGCCCTTTACTGCCTTTTTACACTGTTTTCCCCATGTCCTGCAAGTAGTGGCTGGGCAAGAGTCAGCACATGCTGTGAATAACTGAGATAATTTGTTCAGGTGTTCTGCCTAGGCAGCTGTCAGGCCAGACAGAACATAGAACTGAGCTCATGTTGAAGTATTGGCAACTGAAGTTGCCAATCTGATTTTTCTGCATTTCCACATACGTTTCTATAACCAGGGTCCCAAAGATGTAAATGCTGAGTGATCATTCCTCACCATAAGTCAACAAGAAGTGGTATGGCATAAATTTCCTTGATCTTTATTACAAGAGTAACTTTTAAATAGCTTTGAAATGAAACGTGATGGCTTGATCAGTAAAAATACATTTCTCATAGCAAGCTTTTCTTTGCACAAGATTCAGTACTGTTAGTGACTTGTTTTAAGACTATTGGAAGATAATGATTTCAAAAACCAATTGTATGATGAGACAAGGTCTCTCTCTGACAGTAATATTTTTTAATTTTAATTTCCAGTTTTGATTTCATCTTGAGGTATTGCACAGCATACTGTAACTTTCTTTTTTGTAGATAGCTGAAAATTCTTATGGCTCACTCAAAACATTATCAATGCAGTATTGTGGATCCCTGTCAAGTCAGAGGATAGTAACAAAAGTATAGCTAGAAAGAGCATACAGGTCACCAGCAAACAAGGAAAGACAACGGGCCTTTGATTGTGTTCTGAATGCTCGCTTGGAACGGCAGCTGGTGTTCAAAGCATTGTGTGGTGCTTCATACAGAATAGACAAAACTGTGCCTTTTCAGCTTCTTGTGTGATATTAAAGCTTTAAAATTTGGCTTTCTAAAGGACTTGTCTCCATTTAAGACTTGTAAGAAATTGTAATTTCTCTGAGCACTCTTTAGGTAAAGAAACTTAGGTGAAATTTAATTTGCGTCTCTGGTGTGGTAAAGTAAGTGTTTTAATCTGTGTTTGTAAGAGGTATTGCTGTTAAATTCTGCTAAAATGAGAACTTCTTGCTGAAGTATGTGCCACTAAGTCTAGGTTCTTTTGCTTGGTGGTTCTGTTGCCCTGAGTAATACTGTTCTCTCTGCTACCACTAACAGAGAACCAATGAAGAGTGCCTGGCAGGTTTAATTAAACAAGTTATAGTAGTGACTTAGGGTGACTTTTAGTTGTTACTGCTTTTGTGTTAAGTACTTAGAAGAAAATAGTTGCTCCAGGAAATGCTTTTGGAAGCCTGCTTTCTGAAGGTTTGCAAAAATGGCAATGCAATGCAAGAATTGATGCTTTTTAAGAAGCTTGCATAATTTTAAACCAACAGTGTGTTTGGTACAGCACAGTCCTCCTTCGTACTTGTTTGCGTATTCATAGAACTGTTACCTACTATAGCTGCATAGCTGGTAAATGGTCTAAAGTCACACAGAACCTTGTTGTCAGATATCTCCTAGAAGTCACCTGTAGTGGTCAGGAAGGCTTGAGACTATTTGATATGGAATTGGTTGTGCATTTTTTGTGGTCGTCCCATCCTGTGTTGTCATCCCTGTTCCCCCCAAATGTTTATGCACTTCAGGGTGAAGTTGAAGCAGAAAACTGGGAGGAAGAAAGGTGAAAAACTGGATTGTGGTTTGACTGTTGCTGTGAGTTGATCTCTGTACAGGTTTCAGTGGTACCAGTGACGTGGTAATTGTGATGAGTTTCTTTGATCTGACTTGGTTTGGGTGGTAGGAGAAGGAGGAGTAATTTGATGGCCTGGTACAGGTGGTGAAGAAGACCTCCTCTTTCATTCACTAGCACATCTTAGGCAAGCTGATCATCAAGGTGCAGCCCTGAGTGTTATTCTGGTTGGTGTGGGATCAACTAAGGGCTGTTCTAACACTTGTCTTTCTGCTTCTCTGAAACTGGGCACAACTTTTTCTTTTCTTCAGTGTTTCCTGGTGTTTCTCCTGATTCTGAAGTTGGGGTAGAAGGGGTGGGGTGGAACAGGACTGTGTAGATTTGGACACCACCAACTCCTGCTGCCAGGTATCCTGTAACCAGCCATAAACAGGACTTCTCTTCCTCCTAGCAATCATATGACTACTAGTTGGTACGGTTACACTCACAAATCTAAGCATAGAAATAGCACTGCTGGCCCACATCAGACTGTCCACTGCAGATACTTAAAGCTATACCCATAAATGTTCTGACCGAAAATTCTGTCAGCAAAAAGTAGTGCTTATGTGAAAGATGGCTACTATTAAAATAGCGCTTCATGCTATTGACAGCTATTTTAGAACAGACTTGTGACTTTTGACTAAATTTATCTTCTGACTTTGTATGAAGTCTTAAATACCTCCAGTTTAATTTCATCTACTACCATACTGCAGACAATAACTGCTTTAATTGGTGAACTCAGATCAATGCATTAAGTTTAACTTTTTTGTAGAGTACAATTGCTGAATGAATGCTGAATAGCTGAGCTTATTTGAAGTAGGAACTGCTGATTGTATTTTTAGATGAGTATTTAAATCACTAACTTAGAGCTATACTTTGGTCATTAGATCTGTTTCCCATTGTTGTTGCTTGCCTCTATCCAGTAGATAAGGACTGTGGAGTGTTGGCCATGCAAGCAGGCTATATAAAATTGAGACATCAAGTATGAAATACATACTTATGCTGCCTGTGTAATCTCTTTAATCCTGAGCAATCTTTGAAATGACCTGTGAGATTTATCACACTGGACAACTATTGCTCCTGAAGACGCTAATTTGCTACAATTTTAGTGAAGTTAGCTGGCTGGGTAGAGAAGAAAACCTCTCTGGGGAAGATGATGTAGTGGAAGTATCACAGCTTCTTCCATGATTTGCCAACTTGCAGGGCAATCTGTTTATGCAGCACTTGCTTGTCAGAGCCTGTACTTCTTTTGCAGGTCACGGGGAAAATGCTGAAAACCTGACACTATTGCAGGAATAGAGGGCAATGTTTGTAGGGGACATGTAAGAAGGATGGTCAGGACTATTTCAGAAAGGGCGTGGGAAGAAAGGGTATGCATCATAAAAACAAAGCTTTTTTGACTCCACTTCTCTGGAAGAAACCTGTTCTGAAATGGCAAAGTCTGTTTTTTAGAGGTTAGCTACTGTTTCGTATATCGTTTGGGTGCATATTCAGGTTACTTGCAGAGTAGTCCTAAGTGCTTAAAGAAAACATTTTAAGTGTGACAACTCCTGTGTCTTGTTTACTTTTGAGAACAGTCACCTTTCCTCTTGTTTGGGTCAGGAATTGAAGCTGAATATACTGACAGTTTTGCAGTTGCTTCAACTTCTGCTCACTCACAACTACAATTAGAAAATTAAAGCAGAGCAAGAGTACTTTTTCCCTGTTCTCACATATCCTCACTCAAATTAAATGTATATTATTCCATAGAAACTGTATCATGGTAAGAAAGGATGTTTAAAAAAAAAAGTTCCTATACTCAAATAGTAATTCTAAATACGAAACCTCACATCCTTTAAAAGCTACCGTCTGGGGCTTAGGGCATATGGAATCTGTTGAAACAGTTTAAACCCTGAAGTACAGGTATGGGAATGTATAGGATTAGGTGAAGGAGAAGAGTCTTAAAGATCACAAGTAGAAAGCAGGTGCTTTGCCCCTTCATGAGTACACACTAGAAATATTTTGTAAAAACACTATTTGATGGTGAAATGAGTGCTAGGATTTGCTTGCCCTGCTGTGACAGATGGTCTTTCAACTTTAAGTATCTAGAGCAGTACATGGTGCACCGGTCAGTTGTTAAAGCAGCTCAGTAAGGACCCAAAAATGTGCAGCTGCTGACTTTTTAATGGTTTGATGTATTAACAATTATAAACTTATATAGGCTTTGAATTAAGATATTTTCTGATTAATCTGTGGTTGTTTTTTTATAAGGTGTGCAAACAGATTTGGCTAGGCCTATTTGATGATAGATCATCAGCAATTCCAGACTTCAGGGATCCACAGAAAGTAAAGGAATTTCTACAGGAAAAATATGAAAAGAAAAGATGGTAAGATAGCTTTACAATTACAAAGATTGCCTCTGTGACAAGTGAAGATGGACTGTTATCCTCACATTCTAGAGTGTGCTTTCCTTCTTGTGTGCTCTTTGGACTAGACTGCACAGCTCTGTAAAATAAAATGATTTCTAGACTTTATTCAGAGCTCTGACAGGAAGCAGAGAAGACAAACTATTTTAAGAAGTTTCTCAATGTGTAGTTCATATTGGTGGAAAAGAAGTGGCTTAAGGGGATGTCAACAAGAGTGTAAAGTAAGGGGTTTGCAGGCTTTTATTAGGAGGTGGAAGACACGTGTGGTTTGTATTAAATAAGTGCTGTAAAATATTGATGACTTAAAATACCTGGCATATTTAAATTAGTGGGTATTTTGCAAAACTACTGATAGAATTTGTTGCAGCATGAGTGGTTAAAATAGCAAAGCTGAGATCTAGAAGTTCTCACACTTGAGTCTTATGAAAGTTGAGCAGAACTTTTCACGTTAAACTTGTAAAAACCATTACTCTCTTTGAATGTAGGTATGTTCCTCCAGAGCAAGCAAAGGTGGTGGCATCAGTCCATGCATCCATATCGGGGTCTTCTGCTAGTAGTACAAGCAGCACACCTGAGGTGAAGCCACTCAAATCTCTTCTGGGAGAAGCTGCACCCACACTGCACTTAAACAAGGGCACACCTAGCCAAGTGAGTAACAACAGAGCTGAAGAGCACAGAACTGTTCAGCAGTACTTTTTCTCTTTTAGTAGCACAAGAATTCTTGCAATAGCAATTGTTACCTGATAATATGATCACTAAAGACAACTTTATCTTACTATTTTGTTGAAGTATGCAGGTGTTTGCAGATCAGGTTCTAAATTAAGCTTGTTTCTGTTGACCAAATTGATTTTTTTAATGGTTATTTCAGTAAGCAGAGTTTTCCAGTGTGATCGGCAAGTTTAATTATGATTAACTTTTGCTTAAATAACGCTATAGAGTTTGAAGCTAATGTGATATGTTTTCATATTTGTTTTATTTGAAAACAATAAAATGGCTGATACTGTTAACCATGAGATCAGTATTGAGTATGTGGGTGAAAAGCATGCATGTTCATTATTGCTTGATATGCATTCTGTAACTGTCTTATCAAGTGGCTTTCAGGGAGTGTCTGTATGCTGTTATGTAAAGCCAAACAACACCATGTACTTAGATTTTGGAGGGAAGACAGTTTTTTGAAAAACTGTTTTACCTTTCAGATACAGGCAACTCTTGAATGGACCTCTTACAACTCAAACAGTAGAAGTCTGCAGCTTGCGGCCTTGCTATGAAATTCTTCAGATTTTCTCTCCCTATACTGAATTGTAAAGACTTTTTCCAGAAAGCAGTAAATAACTATTTTCTAACTTGTAAAATTAACTTTTATTGCTTGTATTTGTACAGTATTTGCAGTTTTAAATACATAATTTTGGAGTTGCTTATGCTGTTACTTTATTTTTCTAGGCCCTTATTAACCCATGGAAATATGCAGAGTTCCTTTAAAAGCCACCCTAGTAGCATAAATAGATTGTCTTCCTCATACTATAAAAGGAGGGTCTGTGCTGTAAGAAATTTAAAGAAAGCATATTAAAGAAATATGCTTTGTCTATCCTGCTAGTATTTTGCAAAAGTCAGTTTGGTAAAATGTCAGCTTTTTTGTGTTACTAATTGAAATGTTGTTTGCAGTCTCCTGTTGTAGTTCGATCTCAAGGACAGCAGCAACAAGAAAAGAAACAATTTGACCTCCTCAGTGACCTTGGCTCAGATATCTTTGCTGCTGCTCCTCCTCAGTCAACTGCTACAGCAAATTTTGCTAATTTTGCACACTTCAACAGTCATACAGGTAAGTATTCTGAGCAGTGTATCCCTTTTAAATGTATAAAATGTAGCTTTAATTTTTTATGACTTTAGACTAAACTTCTTCATGAGGTATGTGTAATTCCTGTGCCTTGAGAATGTTGTATTGCTCAAGATTTCCTTCAGATCTTTACAAAGAAAGGTTGAAGACATAATGGCTGATCATCCTGCTTTTTGAAGTGGGAGTTGCTACAGCTATTTTCTACAATATGTATGATTAGGCTGTTTCTGCCTACTACTAGAACTTTAAATTCTTCAGGGAGAGAGTGAGAGGATGAGTAACAGAATGTAGGGAGAAGCTGATATTAGACCTTTAATTTTCTTCCTGAAAATTATTAGGAAGAACATTCATGGAAATTAAGCAGTTATACAGACTTTAAGGGGATTCAAATGCATTGACAACAACTGTCAATTTGTTAAGGAAAAAAAAAAGGCTTCCTCAGTTTAAAGAATGACCTTGTCTTTTGTGTGTGTGTCTATTTAAAAACTGAATACTACCCGTGTGGGTAGTATTCTGTAGTTTCAGGAAGAATAAACAAGCTTTGAGCATATGTATAGATCGAGGATGGGAGTAGGCCTTGAATTCTTGAAGAATGACTTCAGTAGAATATATTGAGCCCTCAGGGTTCATTTTCAGCCAAAGATCTTGAGCCATGGAAGTCTGTCCTAAAGAAAAAGTTGATTCTGTGTTGTTGCTAACTTGCATTATAATTGTGGGAAAGTACCTTTGTCTTTCTTGTCTGAATGGGCTTTTCATCTTGACTTTCTGAGAGAAATTGTGATGCTGCTAAGCCAACAAAGAAATCAGTCCTGAAATTGTTAACAGCTGAGAGGAAGTGTGATGGAGGGAACTTAAGGCACACCTGAGGAACTGAGCAAAGTATTGAGGATTTCTCAAAGTTAACTTTCAAAAAAATCATTGTGAAAGAATTTGCTGAATTCCGTAATACAGGATATGAATTGCCATTGCAGTCTAGTTTTAAAATCCTTAACATAAGATTTCATGTTAATCTTTTTGGACGTATATTTAACTGGGATAACTTCTGCTGGCTGGCCAATGTTGTACAGTGTTACTGAAGAGGCTGCAGATATTTTATTCTTTCTAATAATTTATTCTTTCCAAACTTGTTACTGAATGATTCTATATTTGTATACACTTAATGACTCTTTGTGGGTTTCAGGAAATGAAAATTCCATTTAAGCAATATTTCAGTACTGTTTTTCAAATCTAGGTAAAATTTCACTGTATCTCTTCTGGGTAATCTTTAAAAGGATAAAAAGCAATATGAACACTCAAGAATAAATATAATCTTACAAAAGAGTACTAATTTCTGGTTGAAACCGGTGCTGAAAATCAAAATTGAAGGGAATACTTGGCTGGACTGACTAGTTTTCTGTTTCAATAACTAACCATTGTGGTCATTCCTAGGACTCCTTTCCATAAATTTTAGAACCCAAACCAGTTTCAGGGCTGGTAAATCAGTTTCTAAAAGACAAAAATCTAATTCTGAGCGTGCAATAGCTGAATGTGTATTGCAGATTGGTTTATCTGAAGGTGTTTTCTGACTTGCTAGGGTAAAACACTTGTAAGGCTTGTCCTGTGAGTAGTAACCATAGGGCAGTGTTAACTGAAATGAATAATGAAATGTTACAGACTCTTCCCTTTGGAACACAGGGAGGGTTGATCAGTCTGCCAGCTTAAGCAAAAATGAGTTTTAAGTGCTCATTTAAGGAGCTGTATAAACATGTAATTTCTGTTAGTAATCACACACTATAGCAGAAGACGGATGAACTTGCACTTAGTCCAGCACTACTTTCTTGAAGTTTATGGTCTGGTGTTCTTGTTTTAGGGCCTGGTTTTAGCTATGCCTACGGGGGATGGACTCTTCTCTTCCCCTTCACGTACTCTATGATTAATTAAAGAAATCACTGAAGAGCACCAGCAAACTTAAGGTCCTCCAGTATAAGTTACTGTTTCTGCAATTAAGGCACAACTGAGTGCAGCAGCTGATAGGAAAATATTAACAAACTTGTGATATGATCTGTAAGGTATAGATGTAAAGCTTGAAAATTATGCAGGAAGTATGACTTCTGATATGTTTTTTTTCTGAATTTTCTAATGTACTAAGCTGTCTCAGGACATTGCATGTTGAAGGGGAAACATGCTGACCTTACATTTACTGTCTGTATTTAATTTACAAAGTTCCATAACGTCTTCAAAACATCATAATTTTGCAAATGATGGTAGATAACTGTTCTCTCTCTCTGTAGTTTACAGACTGGTAATAGTGACAAAAATAAAAAAAATTTTGGAATGTAGACTTTCTATAAACTAATGGAATAGAAGACCTGCACAAAAGATTTTAAAAAGGCATAGTGACACAGCACAACTGTCACAGGTAACAAGGGAGAAGAGGCTTTACCCAGAAGATGTATAATAGTATGACACAGTTATTGTCTTCTAGAGAATTATTTTCAATTTTTAATTGAATATATGTGGGCTTAATTTTAGGGTTTTTTGGTTTTGCAGTGTTGCATGCCTGTATTCCACACACGGGGTAGTGCAAACCTCACAGAAGAAACTATGCAAAGATTATAGGGGCAGCTTGCATCACCATGACTGGCGCTGTTGTACTTGAGCTAGCTTTAGCCAGCTAGCTTTTGTACTGCCTCACTGATCTGCAGTCACAACAGCAGTTGTAAATCTATGCCAATCTGCAATCCGCTGCAGCTCCTCAACTTACCTAGGGTTGCTCTTGGGTTTCTGTGCGGAGAACTGAATTTTGGAATTGCCAATCTACATATTGTTCAGGTACATGAAAATACAAGTCCTACTTGGTCTTTACCTTTGTGCCACTTTTACATAGGTTTAAACTTTACCACATAAAATAAAGCAAGATTAACATCTGAATACTCTGCAGAAGAATCTTTACAGCTCTACTGTTTTAATATGGGCCCACTTGCAAATCATACTGTGTCAGCTGATGCAATAAAATTATTAGAAGTGGCCTGTAATATAATGTGTTCCAGTTTGTAATCTAGACCCAAAAGATCTTTAATTTTAGATTCTTGGCATAGTATTCAGTTTGTGTGAGTGGTTAACATGAAAAATTTTGTCACAATTCTAGTAGTGACATTTATGTACTTAATCCTATTTGGTCAGCTAAACATCAGTCTCTGAGTAGCCACTATCCAAATGATGCATCAGGACAAAAGCTTCACTTTCATTTTAAAGCAAGGTGCAACAGAATTCTTAATCTATTCCTCTTAAAAAGCTGCTGGGTTAGAAACAAAACAAAAAAACCCAAACTGTGGAATTTGGAGTTCATGTCTGTAGAATGCTGTTTGAACCAAAACAGAGGGTATAATAATGGAAACCCTTTTTCTTCTGTTTGTGTCAACTTTTTCTTCTTGCATGCTTTAAAGGTGAAAATTTTAGGACAGAACTTTCCCAAGACCTTGCTTTTTCATTGATTTTTTTTCTTTATTTTTATTTTTGATTGCTTTTTGACTCATGCTATGGTGGCTGACCTTGGCTGGCTGCCAGGTGCCCACCAAGATGCTCCCTTGCTCCCCTTCCTCAGCAGACTGTGGGAATAAAATATGATGATAACTGAAGTTACCCATATTCTATTGTGGTCGTTTGACCCTGGCTGGACGCCGGGGTCCACCAAAGCCACTCTATCACTCCCCTCTAACTGGACAGAGGGGAAAAAAGTAAATCAAAAGGCTCATAGGACAGGGAGAGATCATTTTATCAGTTACCACCACAGGCAAAACAGACTCAACTTGAAAATAATTAATTTATTATCAATCAAAATCAGAGAAGGAGAGGAGAGAAACTGCTAGATCTTAAAAACCTTCCCCCCACCCCTCCCTTCATTCTGGGCTCAACTTCACTCCCAGCTTGTCTACCTACTCCCCCGCAGTGGCACAGGGGGATGGGAATGGGGGTTGAGGTCAGTTCATCACACATAGTCTCTGCCGCTTCTTCTTCCTAGGGAGAGGACTTTTCCTCTGCTCCAGCGTGGGGTCCCTCTTATGGGAGACAGTCCTCCAGGAACTTCTCCAATGTGAGTCCTTCCCATGGGCTACAGTTCTTCACGAACTGCTCCAGCATGGGTCCATAACCTCCACGGGGTGCAGTCCCTCAGGAGCAGACTGCTCCAGTGTTGGGTCCCCTGTGGGGTCACAAGTTCTGCCGGCAAACCTGCTTCAGCGTGGGCTCCTCCCCCCACGGGTCCGCAATGGCTTGCCAGGAACCTGATCTGGCGCAGCCTCCTCCCTTTGGGCATCCACCCGCTTCGGCGTGGGGTCCTCCACGGGCTACAGGTGGATATCTGCTCCACCGTGGACCTCCATGGACTGCAGGGGGACAGCCTGCCTCACCGTGGTCTTCACCAGGGGCTGCAGGGGAATCTCCTGCCCCTCCTTCTGCACTGACCTTGGTGTCCGCAGGGCTGTTTCTCTTGCGTACTCTCACTCCTCTGCTGCAGTTGTGCAGGTTTTTTCCCCTTCTTAAATATGTTATCCCAGAGGCGCTACCACTGTCGCTGATGGGTTTGGCCTTGGTCAGCAGCGGGTTCATCTTTGAGCTGGCTGGGATTGGGCCTGTCACACATGGGGGGTAGCCCCCCCCACTTCCAAGACCTTGCCACAGAAACCCAATACATCTATAGATGCTATATACACCTGTACTCTTTAGATGGTAACTGAAGTTACCTGTCTATAAGGGTTTGGTTTGCATTTGAGTAAAACTACTTTTTTCTTTTTTTTCCTTTACACCTTACTTCAAGAGTGTTTAAGACTTTTGTGGAGCTTATCAGTTAGGCATGCAATTTCTGTTGCATCTATAGATGGTTGAATGTCCAGCTGTTTGAAATTAGATGGGTGTTAACATTTATTTTCTCCTATATAGTATGGCACGAAAGGAAGGCCAAACCTGAAATTCTATTTGAGGTTTCCTTGGATTTTATTTTGTGGATACACTCTGATTGCTATCTTCTTGACATTGGTATTGATTTTCCATATTTCTGTACTCTGATTTGGTTTTTAAAAAACTGAATTTTCCAGTGAAATGAATCTATAAACCTAGCCAAAACTATTCAAGTGGTGCCAAGCTAAATTCACACAAGGAAGAAGCACTTTGTATATGAGGAATTCAAATTGTCATTATCTTACAAGAATACTTTAACTTTTATTCCCAAAGTTCAGTGAGTCCACAAATTCTAGTTTTGGAAACTAACATTTAGAATGATGCCCGGTTTGGGTTCTACAGTTAGACATCTGGTATTCTGTAGTTTTTGGCTGTTTTTCCCTGACCAGCCACCACTGCAAACACTCTAGGGTTAAGCTGAACTGGACTTCATCAGGTCATGCAGCTGTGAGTAGCAGCATGTGTGAGGAGGAGAGAAACAGTGTTAACTGGTACAGCTCTGTGAAGGTAATTCATGAAAGCTTGTTCAGAGGCAACTTGCAGTTGTAGAATATCATGTATAATTTTTTCATTGAAAAAGAAATTACAAGGTAGGACATAACCCTTGGAGGCTGTCATGACCATGAATTCAGTTAATACATCTGTTTTTGTGTTTGTTTCCCATATCCATTAACATGTTTTGTTCCTTTGCAATTTACAGCGCAGAACTCTGCAAATGCAGGTTTTGCAAACTTTGATGCATTTGGACAGTCTAGTGGCTCGAGTAATTTTGGAGGTTTCCCCACAGCAAGTCAGTCTCCTTTTCAGCCCCAAAATACAGGTAGAACTCCTAGCACTTTTGATTAATACTTAATGGAAATAATCCTTACCTTTATGTTGGAAGGTACTTAAGTTGAGTTTTTCTTGCATCTGCCTGCTTTAATGCAATCAAGCTATCTGAAGCTCTGGGGAAACTCAAAATGAATTCCTTCTGTTGATTTTTTCCTTTTTTTTTTTTTCCTGATGCTACTCAGAAGTCTGATTTATGGTACTATGTGTGTGTTAGCTCTACACCTGAAATAACTATGAAAAGAGTAAACCATAATGCTTTTGATAAATATTGAATTGACTCTTTATCTTGTAAGAGAATTGTTTTGGTAGACCCAAAAGCACATTACAGTACCAAAAAAAGTGTGTATCTATCCGTATGTATAACATATGCACACACTTCAGTATGTTTGACTTCATGTGTAGAGCCTATTGCTAAGATTTATTTTGCTTTCCTTTAATTTAATCATGCTTTAGAACTTCTGCTTGAGCTTACACTTGCTGTTTGTCTAGATCTTTGGCTGACTGACTTTCTTTTCCTTTTTTTTTTTTTTTTCTTTTGAGTGTGGTGTCGTTTTAAACTTTTTTTCAAATTTTCTTTCTCCCTTCTTATTTTAACTTTAACCCACACACAATTTCTGGCTGTCCAGCGTTCAGAACGCTTTCATCTAGCTGCAGTTTTGGTGAATTTACTTCTGCTTTTCCTCTCCAGGCTGTACACAGTAAGTTCCACACAGTGGAAAACTCAGCTTGCTTCTTTTCATGCCATTGTAGTATAGTATTTTCATTTCTACTGTTGCATATGTTTTAACTTCTTGATTATGCTATTAGAAAGTTGTGTGTTCTGTAGTGTGAGTGGAATCCTCAACCAACTGTTATAAATAAAATGTGGTACACTTAATGGAACAGCTTATTTAAAATTAAGCACATGACCTGCCTAGACTTAAATTATCTGGACACTGAATAAATGGGAGCTCATGGTTTCATATTTGAACTGAAGTTCAGTTGTGTGGACCTAAGTCAGATTTTCAAAATTGACTTATGTATCTCTGACGTCAGTGGAGACTTGGTATAAAAAGAGCTGTGTCGTGTCTTCCCCCTCACCTCTTTCCTGATTGGATGTAGTCTGACAACTGAGAACCAAACTATCTCTCTAAACCTTGGCATGGAATCATACTACTTTTGGAATTCTAGGCACTGTTTTTTTTGCTTAGAATGATGACTGACATCTGAAATGGTTAAAGATGATACCATTAAGAAAATGCAAATAGTAGCTATTCATTAGACACATATGAAGCTTCTGTATCTTGAATATTAAAGATTCGGACAAATACTTATTTTTGTAGCAAAATATTATTTTGAAATTATTTTAACAGCTAATAAATAGCATAACGTTTTTCAAGATCAAATTATGACTGTGATTTAAGCTGTTGAAGCTTAGGGGGTTTTTTGTCCCTGATGTGCAGTCTGAAAAATATAAAAAAAAAAATTATTTTTTTTTTTCTGATGGCCCAACGTAACTTTGAAGGAAATGGGAAAGGGTCTTAAATGTGTGGGATGGGGCGAGGGAAACATGTCGCCTCACATAACCACAAAGAGGTGGGATTATTTTGCTATCATTTACAATTGGAGAGACTTTCTCTGCCTTTGTAGTGTTGATCATGTTTGACTTTATTTGTTACAGGTGGAAGCGCTGGATCGGTGAATGCTAACTTTGCTCACTTTGATAACTTCCCAAAATCCTCCAGTGCTGATTTTGGAGCCTTCAATGCTTCTCAGAGCAACACAACAGCAACTGCAGCCATTAAAGCTGCAGTGAACAAACCGAATCTCCAGTCAGCTGACAAATATGCAGCTCTTGCTAATTTAGATAATATCTTCAGTGCAGGGCAAGGTATTAAACTTTATTCTTTGATGTGCTTGTTCTACACGTGTATACTTACAAGGGTGGCTGTGCAGGTCAAAATAGTAACCATATTTCAAAATGTCCTTCTTTAAGTTATCACTCGAATTTCATGTCAGTACACCCTTAATGTGTAAGATGCAAGTTTTAAGACTAACATCACTCTAAAAGGAGGTCATCAAAAGACTGCTTTTTGGGAACCTACTTGTTATCAAGTTGAATAACTCTTAAGTGGAAAGATCTAAATAGTTATTACTGTAATAATGAAAATATATTTATATATGTTTTATATTTGTGCTAAAACCTGTAGTGAAGGCACTTGAACAGAGAGCTATAGCTGTTGCAGAGAACTGCCAGAGTAGCTTTCCTACCTCTCTGCCACAAAAAGATTCAGGTTTAGTTTTTTATAAATTGGTAGCAGTGATACTTGGATTTAGCTGAACTTAAGTTAAGGAGACAAAACCTAGTTACCCTGTAACTTTTTTTTCTTCTGAAATGGTGTATAAAGACTTGTTTTGGTTTGTAATATAGACCTTTGTTCTGAAGTGGATAATTTGAGGGTGTTTTGTTAAATTTTCTGGTTGAAAATGACAGTAGTATTGAGTCATTATTTTCCAGGGAAATCAGAGACTCTCTGGAGCTGCAGAATATCTGTGGAAGCATGGCGCGTTGCTAATAGCTTGTTAAGCATTTTTTTTCCAGTATGCCCTAGTGCATATTTAATTTTTAAGTCTGAAATTTAAACTGTCTGTGAGCTCTCATTTAACTCCCAACGTTGGCACTTTTAATCTGGTTTCTTTCTTTCTTTCTAGGTGGTAGTGAGCAAGGAAGTGGCTTCAGTACAGCAGTGTCAGCATCAGCAGGTCCTGCACTGTCAGTCCCAAATCAGTCAAGTGCATCTTCAGACAAGTATGCGGCTCTAGCAGAACTAGACAGTGTGTTCAGCTCCACAGCAACCTCTAGTAACGCATATACGTCCACCAGTAATGCTAGCAGGTACTTTGCTAGAAGTAGCTGACTTTCTACGTTGACTTCAGCAATATCCAGAAAAGTAGCTCAAAGCTGGTCCTCAAATCTGGTTTTATTTCTTATCTAAATGGGGAGATGTTGAATGAGTTTAGAGATACTTCTGAAACTGCATCCTTTATTTTAAATAATAGCAGAACTATCTATAGGGTATTATATGATAAAATTAAGAATACTTTCTGTCAGCACAGTGCTCTCTGCACCTTTTAGTCATTATATGCTAAACCTGTTAGATGATAACACTTTCTTGTACAAAATATTTGCATGCATACTGAAAATCATAGCATCATCCCTAGCAGAAAAAATTATTCAGATATTTATAATGTAAATGGTGTCAACCACTTCTTTTTTAGATCATTGAAGTAATACATACCAAATGCCTGTTATAGCTCTGCTTGGTATTGCAAGTGCCCCTAAAGCTTCTGCTTTGCAATCTTTCTGCTGATGGCCTCTGTTCAATATTTCTTTTCTCCTACTGTTGGTAGAGAGGACTTTTCATTGCTCAGCACTAGTTACAGTCTCTGACCCTGGCATCAGGGGCTTAATTCCTGACACCAGTGAATTATGTTGCAGTTTTCAAACTGCACATAAGCATTCCTTTTTTTTAATTTTACATGTCAACAACAATTGTAAGTTGTATCTAATTGTTAAACAAGCAATTCTGACTTCACTTGAATGTATGAATTATTTTCAGCAATGCTTTTGGAACAGTACCTGTGGCTGCTACTGCACAGACACAGCCTGCATCTTCGAGTGTGCCTGCTCCATTTGGAGGTATATAAGTGTTACTAACACCTTTTTTGGACTGTAAGCAAAAATCCTGCCCAGACACAGCCTGCATCTTCGAGTGTGCCTGCTCCATTTGGAGGTATATAAGTGTTACTAACACCTTTTTTGGACTGTAAGCAAAAATCTTACTAATTTTTAGTTGGTAGTGCTATACTTTGTGATATTGATGTTACTAAGTGATATTGAAGTTACTGAAGGATGCCCAGAAAGTGCTGTTCTTACACATTTCAAGTTAAGCATTTTATGATCAATTCCTCATTTTTCATGTAACTTTACGTATTTATGTATCTGTATAAAAACTGTATAAACTTAATGTAAGACTGGCTGTTTTTAAAAAAACTTTATTAAATAAAATGTTTTTAATTTTTCAGCAACACCTTCCACAAATCCATTTGTAGCTGCCCCTGTTGCCCCAGTGGCACCTTCAACAAATCCATTCCAGACAAATAGCCGAGGAGCAACAGGTTAGGAAAAAAAACCCTGAGTGTTTGAGAAACTTTCTTTCAAGACTTGTATTGATTCTTTTTTCCATAGTGTGTAACTTGTTCCTTAAAGATCTTCTGTATTACCTGTCTCTAGTCTATTTGACATGTTGTGTGTGTGTGTTCAATGTACAGTACAATATTTATGAATAGGCTGCAGAAATCATCTCAAAAAAAAAGTTAAGTGACGGGGTTTTTTGTTGGGCTGAGGACATCAGTTTCCTGTTTCTGGCCCAATCCTAGGACTTCAAATGGTGGCCATGAAAAATGTCAAAATGATCTGTTTAAGATCTTCTAATACTACATAAGCTATTTGTAGTCTGTGTATTACCAGTTGGGTGCCTTCCAAGACTAGAACCTTGGCTTTGAAGCATGCTTCATTGCAGTTTACCCTGAAATCAGGGATCCTGAAAGCCCTGCTGCTAACTAGTATACTTGCTTTGTTCTTTCTTTATTCCAAAGTTCTGAAAACCTTCAAAACCAAAGAGCAGGGCCTAGAACCAGGAAAGACAATGCTTTGGGGCTGTTAGCTCCTCACGAGTCCACTTATTCGGTACATTGGTGGTGTCCTTTATTTTTCTCTTTTGTAACAGTAAAGCATATGTTTAAATATAATCTTTACACTCAGGATTTACATTAATTTTCTGGAGGATTCTGTGGAATCATACTTCCACAGAAAAAACTTAATCACTTCTTAAAAAAGCAAACTTGTACTTTTCTTTAAAGTGCTAAACTTGGATTTAGATGACTGTTAGATTATGCTAATTTTCCCGTCCAAAGGCACTGCTAAACTTTGGCATTTCTATTAACTGGACATCCACAAACTTAAATCTGCTGATGTATGCATTTTAACATTGAGTTACGCTTTGTTGAAAGTTTTAGGTAGATTTAATTAAACTGATCAGGCTGAGTTAAAACTGAATTGATCAAATTCATGTCCTCTGCTAAAATGAATTCTGTTTTCAGTCCCTTTTGAGCTATTATGCAGTTAAACTTATTCAGCTATTTAATGCCCCGAATATCTTTTTCCTTATTTTAATCTTCTTCCTAACTGCTATTTTGGATCATCGTTAAGAACTTGTAGCCCCTTTAGATAAATTTCTTTGAATATAGCAACTCTATCCTTCCACCTTCTAAACTGCTACCCTTGGCTTGCAGAGGTTCCAACCCTTTGGCAGCTGTACGGATGTTATGTGCTAGGTGACAGAGATAATGACTATAAGTAAAGATAATATTCTACCCCTTTCAGTGTAAGGTGTAAAGTTGTAGCTTGTACTTTTATGCTAAGCTTTCTTTCTGCATGAACTTTGCTATTTATTACATGGGAGATCTGTTTTGTAGCATTTATTTCTAATGGTTTTCTTAGCTTAATCTATTGCTGGTCATGCTATGGACAGATTGCTTGGTACATATACCTGTGTATATTTTGTGTGTGTGTATATATATATATAACTAAGAAATGACTGTTCAAGAGTGTATAAATGATTTGACATTGTCTGGTCTCTTTGTGGCTTCCATAAGGCCTCTCGGGAGCAATGCACTCTCACATATTTCCTCAGGCTCATTTTGGTAGGTGGCCACATTTGGTATCAAGTTTCTTGTGGCTAATTGTTCTTGCTTGTAAAAGCTTATTGATAGCTATCTGGTTCTCTGCACATAGAATTTTGGAAGACTTTCTGTGTTTTAAAATTGAGTGGGTGTGGGCAAAGGGAGAGAAGAGTGTACACAGGCAACCTATTAAGCAACTAAAACAAAACCATTATTGATATCCTCCATGGTCACAGTGTAATGCTAACAAGTTGAGCGACTCTTGAAATTTCTACCAACAGTAGCTTGATGCCTTTTGGGATATCCCAAGTCACTGCTCATTTTGTTGTCCTTCTGTTTGCTGTTTTAGCAAGTTTTCCTGTTGAATAGCTTCTCTGCTATCTGTAACTTGAGAACAATGTTAGTACACTAGTTTTGTGTGTACTTTTGTCAGCATTTCGTGTATGTATAATGTCTTGCCCTTGAATACTTTTAGGGTAGATTTTTCAACTGATAATTAAGCTATATTAATTAAATATATTTTTTTTAAATAGTTGAGCTTGCATAAAATCTAACTTGTAACATTTCAAAAGAAAAGTCCTGTCTGATGTTTAACTAGAATAAAATGCCTGGTGTCTGATTTGTACCAAAAAAATTTCTATACGCTTCTCCTTTCAAGACTAACTCCCAAAAGACTGAATAATGGTTTTGTTACTATATTTTTGCACTTGATGTGCTCCTGTTTATTTGCTGAAGGCACGTGGAATAGCATGAGTTGTGTGGTCTTTACTTGAAATGTTCAGCAGAGAATCAGATGAAAAGTTTTGGGGTTTTGTTTTTTTTTTTTGTTTAAGTCTTATCTCCACAGTAAGAGCGTTTGCAACAGGAACTTTGTGTGCAAATAACGTGCATGGTGAAAATTTCATTTAAAGTGATATTAAGGATGGGATGAAGAGAGAGGGGATGCATGTATCCCTTATGACTTTTTTTTTTTTTGACTTGTAACTTCCTGTAATGCAGCTTGAAATAGGAAATCCTTTCCTGCTTTTCTCAGAAGGAGAAAAACAGAGAGGGCTTATGCTGCCTGAAAGTGCTTGCTTCTGATGTATACCAACTTTTACCAGAAAAACTCTGGGGGAAGTATATGATAATGCAAAAAATAATTTCCTTTTTGGAAAGTATATCTGAATGTGCTGGATCTAGTAAATTTTAAACTATTCAATTAATTTTTAAAGTGCAAAAGTAAACTATGCACCTAGTTGGTGGTGACCCAAGCTAACAAATCGGTTCAGTGGCTGTAGAAGTTGAACCTAACTTTTGTATGGTCACTGATGTATTAGGAGACATTTCTTAACATGGCATTATAGTAATTTGTCTCATGAAAAAGTGATTTCTTACAAATAATCAAATGTTATTTTTTGCCTACCAGCAGCAACATTTGGTACTGCATCCATGAGCATGCCTGCAGGATTTGGAACTCCTGCCTCCTACAGTCTTCCTACTAGTTTTAGTGGCAACTTCCAGCAGCCCACGTTCCCAACCCAGGCAGCTTTCCCTCAACAGACTGCTTTCGCTCAGCAGCCAAATGGTAGGTCTATACATTTTAGATAATTTGTTTAAATCAGAAACATGGAGAAAATTATCTAAGTTAGCAATAATGGGTGTGTATTTATTTCTATATGAACTTGATAATAATATTGATGAGGGGTCCCCACACTCTGTTTTGGCTCTGTAGTTGAGCTTTCTGACTTGGCTGTGTGCAGTGATGTAACTGAAACTTTACCGTTATCTGATACTAAAGTTGTAAGTATTCCCAGCCTTAAAGGGTTTTTATGCAAGAAGGGTTGTTTTGTCTTCATTTTTAGAGTGTCTGCAACTGATTATAACACTTTCTCTAACTTCATAGAACACGGGCAAAAGAAAATTGGAAAGTACTTTCTCCCTAAATTTAAATGATAAAATAACATGAAAAAAGTGCATATGTAGAAATTGGAAACGGATTAGTTCTGAACAGTTGAAAATAAAACAGCCAGCCATACTTTTTTTACACTTAGGTTCCTGATAGTGTTTAAGTAGGTTCAGTCCTCCTGATTGTGCAGTCCAAGTTTCCACTTATTTTTGTGTGGGAGCTGCAGCAAAGGACTCTCTGAAGATTGGTTACTAGCATTAATATTTTTCACTTATCTTTCCAAGGAGCAGGTTTTGCTGCATTTGGACAGGCAAAGCCTGTAGTAACTCCTTTTGGACAAGTTGCAGCTGTTGGAGTATCTAGTAACCCTTTTATGGTAAGTGAGTTGTTGCACGATAATAACAACTTCTGTATGTCTGAAGAGGCATAATCTGTAACACTTAATTTCGAGACCCACAAAGAGGGGTTTTTTCCTTCAAATAAGGGAAGGCAGCATGTGAATCTCCTAAGTGAAATTCATTATTACAATGACATGGCATTTGTAGGGCTGTTCAAATCAAAACAGAGGTACTTGTACACCATGCTCTTACAGTAGTACTATTTAGAGAACCACCAAAACAGACTGCAACATAAACCGGAAATCTTTCCTAATAGGTTGTTTTCTTTTTTATGTAGCCTGCATTTATGATGTACAATATGGGAAAAAAAACTTAAATATTTGTCTTATTTTTCTTCTTTTATTTTCCCTCAGGCTGGTGCACCAACGGGACAATTTCCAACGGGAAGCTCATCAACCAATCCTTTCTTATAGCCTTATAGACACTTTACCCAAAAGAACTCTTATGTGGTCACATAACATCTCTGCGCCTCTTGCACTGTTGTCTTGTTTCACTGATATTAGCTTTAAACACAAAAGAAGTCTTTAAGAAGTAAAAATAAAAGCCTGCATTGTGTACCTTTAAAAAAAAATTAAAAAAAAAAATTACACAAAACCCAAGAAAATCAACCCCCCCACCAGGTAATAACGTGCAAAACAGAGGGCTGTGGTAACATCCTTGAACCTGTGAACTGGCAGGTAAAAAAGTAGCGGTATCATGTATATTAAAATTGGCTAATAAGTTATTGCAGATACCACATTCATTATGCTGCAGTACTGTACATATTTTTCTTAGAAAATAGCTATTTGTGCATATCAGTATTTGTAACTTTAACACATTGTTATGTGAAAAATGTTACTGGGAAATAGATCAGCCACTTTAAGGTGCTGTTGTATCTCTTGGAATGAATGAGCTACATCATTTTAACCATTGGTATTGGAAGTCATGAAGTTAAATTGAAGGTTTGTTCATTTCTCAAAATGTTTTCCTTTCCTAAGAGCTCTTCTATTTATACATGCCTAAATCTCTAATGTTAGAGGGATACCTGTCTGCATAATAAAGCTGATCATGTTTTGCTACAGTTTGCAGGTGAAAAAAAATAAATATTAGAAAAAACAATTGTGTAGCATTATTTCTGTGCAGTAAAATTTTATTGGGTTAAAATGCACGTATTGTGAGTCTCGTACACAGATGAATTATCAAAAGCAATATGCTTAAAGGTGAGTTAAGCTTAAAATTTTTGCATGCCTCACTTGGATATGTTTCTCTTGTGTCCTTGTGATTAAGCTTGCTGCTCTAGCCACGTGAAGTGACCTGTCGAACAGGAAAATGTGAACTTGGATTATTGTGGCAGAATAGCTGTGTAATGAAGGACACTCGAAGCACTGGGGAGGGCAGTTACTCAAGAAATGGTTAGCTGTGAAAGACACCTGATTATGGCTTGCTAATGACAGTCTTTGAACAAGACTCAGTTGTGATCAGAACAGTATGTGCAATAGTAGGCCAAGGTACCACAGATGTAATGGCATTCTTTTTTTATTAAAAACTGATACATATTAGTAAGACCTCCTGTGAAATACTAAATTATTTTTTTATTTTCTGGAATGTTTTGTGTCATACTAGAATGCAATTTGTAGCGGGGGAAAAAATGTCTGGCTTGTCTAGTCTGTAACAGTAAGAAGGTTCAAGAAAAATATCACTCTGCATCAAAGTAGTTGGTGATGGTGTTTTAAACACAGATAACTCCTGAAGTTCAAGTGTATTATTGGAACTAAGCAAATAATGTAAATATATCAGAATACATAAACTGCCAGCTTAAAAAGGGTTTCTGACCATCTGTAGAATAAAAATCCTAACAGCTTTCAAGATAACAGGAGTAATTAATATCAGATTATGTCAGATTATTTTTGAGGAAAGGATAAGCAAGGCATTTGAGACGAATGCGGAAGTTCTTGAAGGGAAGACATTTCACTTGTAACTGACTGCCTAAATGTTAGATCTGCTTATTTATAGGGGAGCTGAAAGACTTGACTGCTGCTTGTAAAAACACTTTTATGCCAGTGCTTTTGACTTCCATTGTCTGCCTAAGAGGTGGCAGTAATTTCTGAATCGTACCTTTTTTTTTTTTTTTTTTTTGAAACTTTGGAGATCCCAAAGCATGGGACAGGCAGCTTATACAACAAGTTTCTTACAGTAGCATTCCTCACTTAAATGTCTGGTTTGGGCCTGTTGGCATATTTAAAGTTAAAACAGACTTGAAGTCTGTCTTTTCCTTCTGATGAGGACTGCTGGATAGAGTGTAGTGTATGATTTAATTCTGAAGATTCTCTGGGAAATTCACTAAACGGATTCCCAGCGATTGAGGGTGTGCAGGATGTTAGTGATGCCCTTGCTCTCGCCAGTGTTTTAGCATAGCATAAATAGCTGTAGTTGTTCCCTGTTGTTGACCATACCTGGTTTGGGATAGTAACACATAAATGCAGTAGAGAGTGGGGAACTGAAGGGTTCAGAAGGACTTGCGGAATGCTCAGATATGCGTATTGCAGGGAACTGGGACCAAATCAACCAAATGTCTCATCAGTGAGATGAGGAACAGCCTTGTGGAAGAGGAACAATCCTGTGCTCCCTCCACCTAAACTGATGCGAATTAAGCTTTGGGCAAGGGCTGCTGAGGTCAGCGTCTATTGAAATCATTGTTCTGATCCTAATGAAGCTGATCCCTGCTGAGAGATACTGAAATTCAGTTAAGTATGCAAGGCCCGTCATTTTAGATTATGCTGCAGAACTAGTGGAATACCTTATTTTTCATAACTAGCTTGAATGCAGATTAAAAGGCTGGCAACTCTCACTATACACAACCACACCTGTTTGGTGTATGTTCACTAATTTTAAGTTTGTCAAACTCCAGACAAGTGGCTGAAGATCTTGTGTTGTCTTGAGTCTCCTTTATATTGAGCTGAAGTTGACACCATAGCTGTTTTGTTGATTAGATTTTTAAAATAGCTATATTTACAAAATGAATTCTTCACCTGTTATTATAAATGTTTTGTCTGGAGATCTCCGCAGTTGTTCACACAATTGCTCATGCACCTAGCGTAGTTGCCAGAAAGCTATACTTCCACTAGCTTTTCAGTATCCTCTTCTGCTTTAGCATTAAATCACTTCACTTGATAACTTTAGCCTGCTTATACAGAAATTAATTTGGAGGCCTTCTAGATCAATGCTTTTACTCCTAATATGTCAGCTCTTCTAAGAAGATGCTGTAAGCGGTACATCCTCAGTTCTAGAAGGCAAATGAGATGCCTGGTTCCTGCAGTTCAAAGTAATTTAATGGCTGCAAACTCCCAAGTGCTGCATTCAAACAAGTGCTGAGGCAAGAAATTAACTTGGAAAGGACAGAATTTAGTTGGAACTCCTGAAAGAGAACTATAAATATGGTGCAAGTATTCTGCTTTCTTGAAGGAAAAATGTACTGGGGCATAAAGGCAAGCTCAAGCAGCTTTTAGAAGTATGTCTTAAAAGGAATTAATGATTCTTGCTTTCTTGTGAGCTGGATAGGGGGAAGGAACATAATGGAATTTGCTGCCTGGTACAGTTGACTCCAAAGTGGCCATTATTGAACACAGTTGAAAGAGCATTCCCTAATTAGCTTTAGTTATATCTAAACTTCAACTGGTGTTAAATATTTAAGTAAGGCTGCCTTGTGTAGAAATTAAAGTGTTTCCCTATGGCTTAAAACCAAGAAGTTATTCAGGAGGTTTTTTGTTTCCAAAGATAGGTGTGTGTGGTGGGTCATGGCAGTTGTCATACATTTAATACATATGCTTATTGAGACAGACACTCAGAGGGAAGGTTAGTGTGTTGTATTTACTCATCTTCAACAAATTCACAGTAAAGCTGTCACTGCCTCAGTAGCAGTTTATCTGTATATAATGATGTCTGTTCTGTACAGTCCGTGACCTCAGATTTGAGGAGTGCGTTGTCTGGAATCCAAAATAGCTGCATGTGGCCATTTCTAAACTAAAGTGGCAGTATTGCTGTGCTATAGAGCATTGTAGTAATCCACCAAAAGTAGTGTCTTTTGAAGGAAAAAAAATGGTTTATTGCTATTTGCTAACTTGTTTTAAAAGTGCATGTCACAACTTCCAGTTAAAAGTGTTAAGTTTTCAAAAGGTTTCTGTGGCAAGTGTTCCCTGCTGTGGGGCAACACTTGTGAAGCAACTGCTTCTTTAGAGTCCCTAGCATTGCGGTTTAACCCCAGCTGGCAACTGAGCCCCACACAGCCTCTCACTCACTCCCCCCAGTGGTGGTGGGAGAGAATCAGTGAGAAAACTCGTGGGCTGAGGTAAAGACTTAACAGGTAAAGCAAAAGCCGCACGCGCAAGCAAAGCAAACCAAGGAATTCATTCCCTCCTTCCCACTGGCAGGCAGGTGCTCAGCCATCCCCAGGACCCCCCTTCGTCCTTCCCGCAGCCTCATATGCTGAGCATGACGTCATATGGTGTGGGATACCCCTTGTGTCAGTTGGGGTCAGCTGTCCCAGCTGTGCCCCCTCCCAGCTCCTTGTGCCCCGCCAGCCTCCTCGCTGGTGGGGTGGGGTGAGAGGCAGAAAAGGCCTTGGCTCTGTGTCGGCCCTGCTCGGCAGTAGTGAAAACATCCCTGGGTTCGCAATGCTGTTTCCAGCACAAATCCAAAACATAGCCCCCTGTTATCTACTATAAGGAAAACTAACTCTACCCCAGCCAAAACCAGCACACCTAGGAATGTTTGAAGTTCTTATGCCTATGACTAAATTGCCTTTAATTGAAGAACTCAGTAGAAGTGAAAGTTCAAAGGTTGTGTGCTGTAAGTCCTGTTGTGAGGCTTGGGCATCTGTATGCACTTGCTTGTTGTGCTTATTGAGCATTAATAGAAGTTTTGGTGTCAGATGACTGAATTTAATTTGAGATAGAAGATTGAAGGAATGTTTGGCATTAGAACTACTGGAGAAGAAAAGGGGCAAAATGCATCATCCTGTTGACAAAGCTCTTGATGCTGTAGGCATAGAAGCAGCCTGTTTCACCGTTGACCAGTCTTGCTTGACTGAGTGTTCAGTTCCTCCTCATTCATTGTTTGGGTGGTGCAGCCTGCTGCATTGTTGCTTGCAGCCATTCTTTTTGTCTCCTTTGTTAATGATCAATGCTTTCACCAGCCACAGTGGTATTTCTGCATTTGATGGAGATAATGGTGTGTATGCTTCTGATCAGGAAAATTCCAGCTATGAACGCAAAGTAGCTGCCATAAATGAGAAACTGGGAAATAGAGGTGGGGAAGAAGGAGAGTGAGTCCAAAAACTGCTTTTGCTGTTAGGTGATATCTTAAGGGGCGTCCCTCCACTGCTGCCTTCCCTACCCTAGCACCCATGCCCCAAAATGATCCCATCTTGAAAGGATTCAAGAAGTCTGGCTGCTTGACTTCATGCTGTAGGAAGTCTGCGGTTGTAAAAGGAGAGGGAGAGAATGCTCTGCTACGACCTTCCTTTCCCTGCCTCAGTAAGGGAGGAGGACAGCTGCCCTGCACTTTCTGGCTCTTCTGAAAAGACGAAAGCTAGAGACTTGGACCTCATTCAGTATGTAAGTTTAAATCTCAGATCTAGAAACTTGATGGGGAATCATGAGATTAGTTAATTTTCAGAATTACAGTAGCTTACAGATGCATCCAGTGGAACTATGTAACTTAGAATTGCCCTAGTAACAGACCCATAGACTGCCTTTCAGCTCTCTTCCTGCTTCTGTTTAGGGTATTTTGACAATTAACTTGTGAAGAGTAAGCCTTTAAATTAAAAAAACAAACAACTGTGAGTAATAGGTGGTGGTCTTTCCCTTCTGTTCTATGAAAATATTCTTAAAACTATTGCAGAAATGCAAAATTGGCATGACTAGAGAAGTACATTGTAGTGGCTACTGCAGTTCACTTTAAAGGAACTTGGTTTTCAAGTGTGTAACTGTCCTAAGCTATCCCAACATCTTCCCAAAGGCTAATCTTGGAGTAGAACCCTCTTTTGGAGGAGAGTAGGGGAACTGAGAGTAGTGTGAGTAATGTAGCTTACCTGGGTGCTGATATCCAGTCCCAGACCTTTCGAATCCACTACAACAACAGTTAGAATTGTCTGAATCACCAGTGCCACAAAGTTGTTGAAGCCAAACATCAAAGCGTAACGCTCCATGCTCAGATTGACAGCAATCTGAAACCTAAAAATGAATGTACAGGTTAACTAAACTATGGAGAACATGGACACTTGCAATTTACTTCAGGGAGGAAGTTGGGAACAATTTAACGTGCACAGTGGATTCTTCATAGGATAAAGCCTCTTAAGTCTTGGCTATTACGCTTTAACAACTTCATTTTGGCAGAAATCCCTTGTTTTTCTGGCTTTGGCACTTTTGTGCATCCTACTTTTACTTACTTGTGTGGATATTTTTGCTAAATAAAGACCTGTGTATGTTAATTTGATCACTTAAAGAATACTTGTACAGGCTCATTGAAGAGCTAAATGCAGAATAAGGTGGTTTCTGACTTGGAGTAACCTATTGTAATGGTTAGGTCATGTAATTTTAAGCATAGTTTTATATAAGCTAGAACTAATATGCACGGTTGTCATGACCTATTTAAAAATCTTACTTCTAAGGAAACTTTCGGTAAAATGTTAATAAATTTAAAAACGTGACACTGATTTGAATCTATTTAGTTAGAACAGTTGTGTATTATACTTACGTTGCTATTGTTATGAGGAGCATATAGCATGCTTTAAACACAAGGTAACCAGCATAACATGCCCAGATGTTGTCAGTAAAGTGCATGAGGAACAGAGAACCAGCATCCATTGCAGAGAAAATTCCCAAAGCCAGTTCACCAGAAAGATCCCAGTTTACTTTGACGTATCCAACTGCCATGGATGTTGCTGAACCTAGAAATATAAAAGTAATAATTAAAACTCTGAAACATTATCATCCTTCTAGAGCCATTGCCTAACTGTGTAAATGGATCACGCCAGGAGCTCTTGAGACTGTTACAGCCACAGTGGGCTTTGATAATGGTGTGGCTTATAGCTGCTGTTAATGGTGTGGGAGCGTTTTGTTTGCTCGCTTGGTTGGTTTTTTTTTTTCTTGCTTACAGAGCCTGTATGCACTGAAGTTCTCTTAGTGCCTCATGCCTAAGGCTGGAGGTAGTAGTGTACAGCCTACTGCTGTTATTCCATTTTTTGACATCTGTGAGCATAAAGAACAATCCCACCAAGCATTTTCAGCCAAAATATGCATAATGGAGTTTAATTCCTTCATATAAAGATCTTTATGAAATGAAAGTCTGTTGCGCTCCTTCATGCTTTGTTTTTTTATGAAATCATCTTTTTCAGTTTCTGGTGAAAAGCCTTAAGAACTGCATTTGTCAATGCCTTATTGACCATCACGTGTAGTAAAAGCCCTTACTTGAGTGTAACATGGTATAACAAACTCCAGTGCCTTGATGATTTTTTTTTATTTTTTTTTTTTAATCTTTGCAATGATGATGAGATTTACTTTTCTGCCCATCTCAATTCTGGAGAAATAACCTCCATACAGCAGTAGACTTTATCCAGCTATGGGGGTTTTCTGGTGGGTGTGAGGGGTTTTTTAATGCTCCTTTAGCGCAGAGGCTCCTGTAACTTTATGAAAGCTCTTTCAAACACAACATGCTGAGGTTAGTAGCTCAAATGCAAAGAGAAGTCTGGACCAGGCAGGTTATACAGCAGTGAGTTATCGCAGGCTGGAGAGTGCCAGTTGCTCAGATGTTTTCAAGCAGGCTGGCACACTAGTGCAAAATTGCTGTTCATTTGCTGGTTGTGTGTGCTCTTCATCCAGATTCAAGAAGTCATAGCAGGCCGGCTCCTTCGGTCCATCACTGCTGTAACTGTTCCTGGTACTGGGACTGCTTTCTGTACTCTGGAATAGTATGAAGAGCCAGAGGCCACAAAAGGACAAAAGCCCTTAGGAATACTGCTCAAACCAGTAGTATGAGAAGTTTTGGGGTAGCTTCAGTAAAATGCATTTGCATGCTGATTGCAGGGAGGAAGAGTAAACTGAGAGTTCCCAGTAGAAACACGAGCTCCTGGTATGAAGGAGGAAGCATACTTGTGCAAATGTGAGCTTAAAAACGAGGCTGTATGGGCACTGCATGGCTATTTAAATGGAGAAGTTGTGCTTTGCCCATACGCCTTCTGTTCTGTAGCCAGAGGAATGTCATTCGGATGGATCGAGTAACTGGTGAGAATCGGAGTGGCTGAGGTTGGCAGAGCCACCTGGAGATCATCTTGCCCTGCTAAAAGCAGGGTCAACCAGAGCAAGCTGTTCAGGATGGTGTCCAGGTTTTAACTTCTTCAGGGATGGAGAGTCCACACCTCTGGTCAGCCTGTTCCAGTGTTAAATTACCCTTACAATAAAAATGTTCTTGTATGTTTAAGTGGAACTTTGGGTTTTGCCCTTTGCCTCTTGTAGTTGGGCACCACTGGGAAGAGTCTGGCTCTGTCCTCTTTACTCCTCCCCTTCAAGTATTTATGCACATTGATAAGGTCCTTTGTTTTCTCAAGCTTAAGCAGTTTCGGAGCTCTCAGCCTCCCCTAGTATGTCACATCCAGAGACAAACACATTGATCAGGATATACAGATGCAGCCACAGAGTATTTGTTCAGGAGCACTCATCTTGAAATGATCTTTTAATCCACTGTCTAACCAGACCACCTAAAGCAGTGCATCTGTTAATACGCTCTTTAAATTTTTAAACCACCTAGCTTAAGGTGTGTTTGAAGGAGGAACAGGCAAGGTGTCATTGCCCAGGGCTTTTGAATTGCTTACTTGGGGTTAAAATCATGCTCCAAACAGAGCTGTGAACTTAAACTCTTTGGTGGAGTGAGGCTCCCCTAAGGAAAGCTTGTATCTATATATGTTTTAAGACGATTCTTGAAGACCCCACTGATGAAGCTGAACAGTAAAAACATGCTTTGCACTCTCTCTCTTTAGGTGTTCTATATTGCAGGCTGTTGCTGTTGACCTTGGTCCTTATATGAAATAAACAGAAAGGCAGTGAAGAAATTGCTGAAGAATGCCATCAGCACAGGATGAGTTAGAAGTAGTTGCTAATGATCTTTTACTTACCTAAAAAAGTTGCTATTGCTTCAACAGCTCCATTGTACACGGCAGAGCTGTGAGAGGGGGCTCTGAAGTCCCACAGCACTTGGATGTAATTCAGAACCTGGTTAAAGCCTGCCGTAGCCAGAGCCCACCACAGGGACCAGTAGAGAAGTTTCCTAGAGCTGTAGCAATCCCTCAGGTCCTGGCTCAGCTGCACCAGTACTCTGAGCACGTGATTCTGGGGCTTGGCCTTGTCAGGCTGCTGTTCAGCTGTTGGTCCCCTGTCAGCAGGCGCGGAGCCCTTGTCCTCTTGGCAGCTCGATGGCCCGTCAGAGCAGACTGTAGCCACAACTTTATCCGGTGCTGGGAATGTTTCTGAGACATCTTTCCTGTGGAAGAACATGCTCTTTTGAGGCATTGGGAGGAAAAACGAACACACAAATGCCAGGGACACGGAAGCCAAAGTAATGGCATTAAGGTGAAAGTAGGATACATTTGCTAAGGAAACCAGCAGCTGTCCCAGCACGGCGGCAACAGTGGCTGCCACCAGAGTGATACTTCTGCAATAGCTCGTCACTCTCTGATAGTGATCGGTGCTGACGACGCTGTAGATGTAGGCGTAATAGGCGACCTCGCTGGCTGTCACCATCCCATAGAAGAATTCGACCACCTGCATGGCCGCCACACCGTGTGCGAAGAGGAGCAAGAGCCATGTGATGATGAAGCTGACTCCCTGGAGGAGGAGGATGGGCTTGTAGCGCACATAGTCTGTAATCAGGAAGACTGGGAAAAGGAGCACGAGGTAGGAGTATGTCCAAACTGGGAAAATCTGGTTGGTGACCTAGAAAAGAATAAAAGGGGAAATATTTAAAAAAAAATACATTTAAAATGTTGGGTTTGAGGCTTTTTGATGATGATATTGAAGGAAGATAGTTGTGACAGGAAGCATTGAACTGTGTGAATTACGCAGGCTTTAATTGCATTAAATTACAAACCTGTAAATGTACTCCTTAAGAGTCAAAGACAGTGATGCTAGGCTCCACTACATAAACAGGTAGATTGGCTTAAAAATAATTCTCGTAAAGCCTATGAAAAAGGCAGATTTTTATGTGCGGCTGTTGAAAGTGCTTATAACAGCATCTGTGTCAGAGGAAAGTCTGTCTAGCATTAAATCCCATTCTCTGCAGTAGTTGAAAATGAATGCTTGTTTAGTTTTAACTTTTATGTGAGGCATTGTATGCCTTTGGTCACCTCTCTCCTTTGTTAAAATTAGAAAAAAATGCATGTGCCTCTTATGAGTCATAGGAAAAGTTTGCTTTGTGTTATGCAAGTTGCCTGTTTTGGGGCGATCTTAACCAGTAATTGCAGGACCTGCTAGGGCATCCGTTAATGATCACTCGTTCTCTGCTTAAGCAATTAAACTAGAAAGGAATTGTTTCAAATGCTGGAGGAATAATAGCGGTTGGTTATCTTTTTACTTCTGAACTGGTACTAGAGTGAATTGCATGGTGAGCAGCAGGTTTGGTGTATCTTTCTGGGTGACGACTTTTGTTTCTCTGAACTCTAACTAGAATTTTTAAGTGTTTGACTGAAACTTATGAACTTAGCTCACCAGAGGTGAGTTTGGCTGAAAGAGCTGGTATCTGTACTCCAGTTATTTTTTGAGTTAAGGATCCTTGCTAAAATCAGAATTCAGGCATCCTATCATGCTAACTGTGTATTTCAAGTAAGAAAGAAAATTTCTATTTGTGGTTTAGAAGAAAAAAAGGGGGGGGGGGGGGAAACCCCCCC